TTTACGACACCCTGTAGGAGTTGATGTAGGATGTCCGGGGTGATGGACGTGTAGACATCGGAGTATGGGAGGTTCTGCCAAAATGGTTTGTACACAGGCTTGATTCGTGCATTGCGGCACGCTGCTTTGTACTCGGTGGGCGTCACATCGGGATCTGATCCCATGGCAAGAACGTCAAGGACAGGATTCAGCTCACGCCGTGGTAGCGGAAGGGGGAAGTGGCGATCGAGTTCGCCAAGCTCTGCCTTTGGTGTAGGACATACAGGGCATTCGCCAGTCTTTGTACAGGTTACGAGCACCTGTTCAGGGTAATCACCAACATATGCCGCATAAATCGGATGGACACGCCGCATCACGCCATCTCCAGAGGACATCGGCAGGCCACCCAGGCCAAGGTCCTCAAGCGGCTCGAGAAGCCGGCGCATGCAGAGATGGAATAAATTTGCTTGTGTGTGGCGCCTAGCTGCTTTGTTCTTGATGTGCTCGAGCTTCGATACTGGCAGGTATGCCAGAAGAATCTGCCCTCCCTGCGATGGCCTGCTCCGAATATCTTTAGGCAAGTTCCCAATGGTGAGATACACAGGATATGCCGCCTGGTTATGGAAGAGGGTAAGTTGTGTTTTGTCAGACGAGATGATGACTGGCATAATTGTGGTGCCCTTTGTCCGAGCTTCAGCTGCATCCTGCACATGCGAATATAAGCACAACAGCTCACAAAACAGCATCAGCTGATGACGCACCTGAGCAGCCCACCACCATCGACCAGTGTGCATCTCATGGAACAGCCGCAGCGTTTTGTCCGGATCAGCATAGTGGCGTTCGGGAAGAAATACGAGATGCCGCGCAAACTCTGGCTCTCCGTACAGCGAACGTAGACATTCAACAATATCACGGCAGTACATGTTGAATGATTCGCCAGCAATGACAATCTCTTCTCGGTGGAACTTCGGCCGTCCCGCCGGCAGTTTATCAACAAGAGCACTGATATCGCGATGACTCTTCACAGTGAGCCCAAGCTTTTCCGGCAGCTAATGTAAAGATGTCTAGTTTAGTAGATGCTTTGTATGTGCGTTTAGCATTGGTTATGACTCACCCCAGAGATAGCCAGCAGATCTGAAACTGCAGTCGAGCCTGGCCCTCGCAGCTTCGCCCAGCGCACAAACTCCCACTCAGTTTCATTTGCGAAAGGTGCGTAGATATTTCTTGTTGTAGAGGTTGCATCAACAGAGGCTTTGTATGTGTCATATCCTGCAGGCTGTGCATTGTCGTTGTCGATAGGCATACCCGCTGTAGCTGATTTCACAGAGTAGCTGGTGGTGTAGATCTTGCCGCGCAGCGCAGACTCCATGCGACTTTGAGCAGCTGGGTTGACAGGAGCTGCTTGGTCGTTCACCGGAGCAGGTTGCAAAGGTGGCGATTGGTGGAAAAGAGGCTGCTCTTCCTCTTCTAAGTAGCCATGGCCCGGGCTCGAGTTAGGCTCCAGCTGCTGCAGTAACGTAGGTGAGAGGGGACGCTCCCAGACTGGATGCTCGCCCTCAAGACGATCATCGAGCTCTTCACCATCCTCACTCTCATTATCTTCTGTGTCTGGTGGTAGGCTGTCGTCTTCATCTTCTGACTCGGAGCCCTCGGCAAATAACCCGGGAAAATCATCCATAGAATACGATGCCGCGTCACCGAAGAAGTCACCAACAAACGGCCGCGGTGAGTACGAACCATGATCACTTGGTGGCGGAAGAGTAGGCTCATTGTCGTCAACTTCCATGACGAACGGCGCATCGGGTCTGACAAGAAACGGCTGTGATGCCGACAAAATGCCTTGATTGGCTATTCGGCATGCCAGGTTCTCGCTTTGCCAGACATGCACACTGTATCCAGTGCGGGTAAAAGGCTTGTGACAGCCAGAGCATATTGTGAAGGCCATGGAAGCTAATGGTACGTCAAGGAGAGGTTTTGTCATGTCAGCTGTAGCGTACGAGCGAGCAACAGTGAAACTCGTCAACGTTCGCTGAACATGTCACGTAAGCAGCTCCCACGCCCTCTCCTCTGGCAAACTTTTCATCGTCGCCCACTCCTTTCTCTAGGACTTCCACCCCAACAGTGTTGAGCCCTGCCAGATGGAAAGGAAGCAACTCCACAGAGCCGATGAATACGACCGTCTCTCTGGAGATTATGAGTAACCCTGATTCACACAACAAAGGCAGCAATACTGACTCGAGAGCTGTCCGTGCTGCTCGCCGTGCACTTGATGCCGACTTTCAGCGACAGCAAGAGCTTGATGAAGCAGAAGCTATCACAGGTTGGCCCGTTGTTCTTGCGATATCGAATGAATCTGGCC